CATAAAATCCTTTATTAAATTACATATTACTTACTTTATATTATAAGGTAAGTAATATGTAATGTAATTATATTATATAGCTTATATTACATATAAAGGTATACAATATGTCATTCAAGGTTCCTGGCAGACCAATTTAGTGATTAATAAATAAGTCAAAGTCCTGCCATCAAGGGGGATTGGAAAGGACAATATGAAATTATAAAACCAATATAAAATATAATGATGAGCGATAGTTCGAATTTAAAAATGTAAGCAATGTCTATTGTTCCATTAAACGTGAAATGAAATTGTGGTTCACCCATGGCCCATCTCTGCTCTTATGTCTCATTGATGAAATTAGATATTATGTAGGAACAGTCCAATTTGTAATCATGGTGATTGAACTCCCTCATATAAATGTATGTACATCACATATACATATTCTTCAAGAACCATCCTGGTCTGCTGAATAATCAAAAGGGAGAATGTTTTTTTGTTAAAGAAAAATGTAGGTAACCTCTTACTAAACAAAATACTTTGTATACAAGATATTCAGTGCCTGTTAGTTGAGGGTTCGTGCACATGTACATCTGCATATTATGTCCTTGAATTATTAGTTTTGGGTAGCAGTTCATCAGAGGCCTTTAAAATGGATAGGAATGGGGTTGAACATTCAGTTCTGTGTCCTACCTGCATATATTCGGGTGGAAAACTGAAGTGGATGTGTATTCTTATTGGCCTGAGAGCTTTTCTTGCAGACTAAGACTCTAATGTTTTAGAATTGTTCCTAATGGAAGAGAATAACATGACGCCGACACAAAAAAATAAAAAAATAAAATGAAAATAGGAGCACTCTCCTCTTCAGATTTCATATCCACTCACAGAAGTGCTTCCTTAGAGTAATATGTACCATTTTAAAAAATAATGCCAACGTACAGGTAGTCCTTGATTGACAACAATTCATTTAGTGACCGTTCAAAGTTACTTATGATCACTTTTCACATTTACAACCATTGCAGTATCACATGACCAAAATTCAGCCACTTGGCAATGGATTCATATTTATGATGGTCACAGCATTCTGGGATCTTGTGATCACCTTTTGCGACCTTTTGACAAGCAAAGTCAATGGAGAAGCCAAATTCACTTAACAACCACATTACTAATGCAATGATTGCTGTGATTCACTTAACAACTGTGGCAAGAAGGTTCATAAAATGGGGCAAAATTCACTTAACCAATGTCTCACTTAACAACAGAAAGATTGGGCTCAATTGTGGTTGAGCCCAGTTGTGGCTATATAGGTAGCCACAATTGGGCTCTATAGTAATAGTAATTCAGAAGTCATATGTTCATTGGGACAAGACTGTATCTTTATTGATTTAATATATGCAAATTAAGAAATGTATTTAAATATTCAAGGGAAGGGTAAGCATATTATAGTACTACCCCATCTCCAGTTTATGGGGGGGGTGGGGTTGGAAAGTGCTAATGAAAATGGCTGTAGATCTAATCAAAAACCCTATTCAACTTTTCAGAAACCAAAAAGGGCCTTCAGTTTTTAATTTTGCCTACTGTGATAGCCTCATGATATCATCTACTGAGACATTAGAGCAGGGGTGTCAAACTCAAGGCTCGGGGGCCAGATCTGGCCCACGGGTTGCTTAGATGTGGCCCGGGGGTCTGCCCTGGAAATAGTGAAGGACTGGCCCGCAATGCCTCTGCCAGCAAAAACGGAGCTTGGGAGGGCTGTGTGTGGCCCTTGCAAGCTCAGTTTATGCTGGCAGAGGGTTGCAGGAGGCCATCACAGCCGAAAACAGAGCTCAGGAGCCCATTTTCACTGGCAGAGTGCTTGGGCCACCACAGGTGCCTCCGACACGAGTGATCTCGAGCTGGCCATGCCCACCCTGGCCCTCCAAGATCAAACACAACCCTGATGCGGCCCTCAATGAAATTGAGTTTGACACCTCTGCATTAGAGGTTTTTAAAAAGATGTTTACAGGTGCAACACTCCTCTCAGCCCAAAAATGATTACCTGTTTCCAGTCTTGAGATCTCACAGTTCCTGGGATGATAGATGGTTATTAAGTCCTGATAGAAAAGAACACTTTTAGCTCAGGGTTGAACTGTGGGATCCTTGGTGCTCTCTGAGCTTGGTGGTTTTCTTGCAGACGTTTCATTACCATTTTAGCAATGATGATGTTAATTAGTTAGTAATAAAACATCTGTAAGAAAAACACAAAACTCAGAGAACACCAGCTATTAAGTCTTTTGAAAAAAGATAGCTCCATGATATCATCCCCAAAGGGGTTAGTAAATTTAAAATCATTGCATTGCACCCAATTTTTCTGGCAGAATGTCAGTCCAGCAAGATCCAATTCTCAGGTCTTCCCCCCCTCCAATTTTCTATTCCTCTTCAAATTTTTATTTGAGAGCTTCATTTATGGATTTTTTTAAAAGCCTAACATTGACTTTCAGTTCTATTTCTCCTGCCAATTGACCCCATATAAAGAAGGTGGTGAACAGCTTTTTGTTTTTATTCAAGAGCTTTAAAAAATGAGAACGTGATTTAAGAAATATCTGGAGAAATTACAAGTTTCCCTTTTACCAGTCTACTCCTTTCAATTAAATTCACAGCAATTTATGGAGATTGACACTGGATGGTGAAAGGAGCAATCAGATCTATTGGATTTATTCTATATGTCTATCTAAAAAGTTTTGTTCAAATGTAATTTGCTTTTTGATTGAAAAGTTTTTAAAAATCACCCCAAAAGAAGGTAAGATAAAAATACTCTATTTTTAAAAAATGTTCAGCTCTGATATTAGGTTTTCAGAAGTTAGATATTTCATCTTCCTGAAGTCTTAATATCAAATAAAACTATCCAAATAGAATCAAGATTCTTTTTTTTACAATAAGTTTCCAGAAGTAGGTAGAAATTTGAAATATATAAAGTAGTCAATCCTATGTTACTGAATAGCGGGTTTTGTTTTTAAAGACAAAACTTACATGCATCAAAGACGCCATTTATAATTAACTCAGCATTTGCAGAAGAATAGGGTGGACAGAGCAATCTTTATTAAAAACTTTTAGTAGGCAATTCTTTCCTAACATACACCTAGTAATCAAATGGTATCAAGAAAGGTAAATCTGTGCTTAATGGGATCATCATAATAAAATAACGGATTTAGCATTGATGAAGACAAAGAACCTTGGAATTCACAGACACATCCTTTCATGGTTAACAATGCTTCCACTTCCAGACTTTTGTGAGTGAATATTGGATATATATTAGGAAGTAGCTTGGCACCCTAGAGGTGGAGCTCTTTTCACACAATCAGGAGGCTGTGAGTTTGATCCTAGGTAATGGCAGATATTTCTCTCTCTGGGTGCAAAGAGAAAATATCTGCTGCAAACTCCACATAGGCGTCAGGAGGGCATCTGGCCAGTAAACGCTCAGCTCCATCCTGATGCAAGGGATTATAAGGTCGTTAAAAAATGCATATGTATTGGAAATTAAATTGAAAATACTGGGGTTTGTCCTCTCTACTGTCATCATCAGGGTAAATAAAATAAAAAAGCTGCAGTCAGGATAAGTTGAAACCTCTTTGGTTCACATACAAAACCAAGCACATATCCTGCAGGTAATTACTGTCTGTTTCACACAAGGAAAGAGAACATGTTGGTGGAAATCATATACGATTAATGTCATTTCATTTATTTAGGTGTCCTTTTGCCCTACCTCCCATTCTTTGACCATTTTTTGCACTGTATTAAATGTATTAAATGGGAAAGAAGTCAACTATACTAGATACAGTTTCAAAATAAGTGAGAGGAAACTCTAAAGTATTTTGGTGGGTGTTTAATACAGTTTACTGTCAATATTTGTGTTTAGGTTTATAACCAGCAAAGTAGGTGAATAATGGATTCAGATACAATTGTGGTCGAAAGGAAAGGAAACAGAAAAAAAGTTTTTGTAGTATCTGTCTTCTTTGTTTTAGATTCATGTCCATCACGCTGACACTTTTCTGACTTTCAGAATGGCTTTTATATTAATTTCTGTAAATGAAATAATTTTTCCTAAGATAAAACATCCTGTATATTGCAACTGCAGAATGAGTCAATGAAATATTTCATTTATCATCATTCTGACACATCCATCTAGTCTATTGGTATTTCTGCTGTGGTCTCAAAACCAAGACGATTTGAATAAGCTATTTTTCCATCTCTATATTTATTAACCAAATTATTCATGTTCACTGAATGAACAATCCACAATCACAGTTGACTGGGAGGGAGGGAGGGAGGGAGGGAGGGAGGGAGGGAGGGAGGAAGGAAGGAAGGAAGGAAGGAAGGAAGGAAGGAAGGAAGGAAGGAAGATTTTTGTTTTTTCTTTTATCAGTGCAAATGTATGTATTTACCTCCAGATATAAAAAAATTATTTGAATGACTGCTTTGTTTAATAATTGATTTTACTTTATCGATTAACTTAACCACAAAGGGGGGGGGACCTTGGATCTTAATGTCTGAATATAAATTAATACCTCCCTCTTTCTATTTTCTCCCTTCAATGTATGTGTGTGCATAATTGCATTTAGAAACTGTGCTTGAGTCTTTATATACTAAAGAACAATCAGATGGTGTGTTTATATATAAATGTGTTGATACTAGATCATTTTTTGAAAAATATCTACATTTCCATATAGTTAATTAAAATCAATAGCAAAAAAACTTGCAAAGTAATAGAAATACTTCTGGGCTATTGCTCTTTGTGTTAGATATTGAGCCAAGTTTCTTGATAAATAGCAGAAAACTATTTAAGAGGATCCTCTTACTAAGTATCATGGAATGGTGTCCTTTGATGGCTTTCATCTATAGATGTTAATTGTTGACTCCAACCTAGAAGATTCTTTTCCTAAATTGATACCAACTATGGTGTTTTATATGAGCATGTTCTCTAGAATAAAAGGATTTTCTTCTGCAATTAAAATTCTTATCATTCTACCCTTCTTGTTCAACAGGAGGAGAAGTTCCCTATACCACACTGGCAACTCGAATGATGATGGGCGCCTGGTGGTTGTTTGCCTTGATCGTCATCTCATCCTACACTGCAAATCTAGCGGCTTTTCTCACCATCACTCGTATTGAGAATTCCATCCAGTAAGTTTGCACAAGCTTGGGAGTAAGAGTCAACCACGAGCTGGAAAACCTCTTTGGCCAAAATTGAAGCCTACCCAACCAGAATCAGTGTAGAAATAGAAGTAGGCTGAGCCCAAGGGAGGGTTCAAACATGTCATCAGCCTTGAGTCCCTTCATGCCCATCTAAGCAAGGGTGGGATTCTACTGGTTCAGACCGGTTCAGGCAAACCGGTAGTTCCCGTGAGCATTTGGCCCCACCCACCTGCCCCTGCTCTTTCCTGTGCTTTATTTCTTGGTTTTTTAGCACAGCTAATTCACAGAGTGATTTGCCATGCATCAATTGTTTTACTCACCAGGGATGCAGCAGAAGGTAAGTAATTGAGTTGAAAATGGGCTTTTTTAAATGTAGAGGACACACCACTGGCTCTAAGTCCAACCCATCTTGAATTCTGTTGACTCTTATAATACCAATTTGCTTTGACCATTAGTATTTCAGATCCTTACAGAGAGTGTTAGCATGCAATAAATCTGTTAGTGATTTGAACTGCCTTACATGAACATTCCATCTCTCTTACCTTTCATTCCCATTTCTATACTTTTTAAAATAAGACTAATCATAGTGAAACACACACACACACACACACACACACACACACAAATAAGTCTGGCCGGTAAATATGGCTGATGGTTTCCTGCACCCATCATTTCAGAATAATAGAATAACAGAATTTGGAGGTCTTCTAGTCCAACCCGCTACTCCGGCAGGAAATCCTAGACAAATGGTTGTCCAATCTCTTCTTAAAAACTTCCAGTGTTGGAGATGCCACAACTTCTGGGAACAAATTGTACCACTGATTAATTGTTCTAACTGTCAGAAAATTTCAATAGTTCCATACTTAATCTGATATGACCAGGGGTGGGATTCTACCAATTCTGTCCGGCTCTACAGAACTGGTAGCTCTGAAGAGCAGCAGCACCAGTTCTGTGTCTGCTGCTGTTTTGGCCCACCCGCCTGCCCAAGTTCTTACCTGTCCTTTATTTCCTGCTTTTTCAACCGCAGCTGCTTTGCGCAGCACAGCTGCAGTTGAAAAAGCAGGGGAAAGGGGCTTTTCCAACCGCTGTGCACCTGTATGCAGCGCTGCTCAGCTGTCCGGGCAGCTCAACAGGTCATAAATTGCACTCGCGCAACTTGCGCATGTGCACACGTTGCAAAGCAACAGAACCGGTAGTTATACTGGTCGGATCCCATCCCTGGGTATGACTCTAGACTATATTCTCAGATATAGCATTTCAACAAAGGCTCTAAATAGCGCCTTGAGACAGGATTAGATTATGAGTAGTGATTACAGTGGTAATGTTGGAGACAACAGTAGAATCCTTGTTGGGTTTTTTGCTTTGTTTCTTTTATTTATTTTTCCTTCCCTGTTTTAATAACAGAGGGAAAGGAAAACAAAGACTCTCAGAATGGCTGGTGGTCTCACCTTATCTGCTGGGAGGTGAAAGGTTTTCTGTCTCTCACAGTTTTACTACTTTTGACCACTGTTTTACTGTCTCTGTGGGGGAGAACACTCCTCTTCTCCTAAGGGCAGCTCCATTTACTCTGAACTGCCATAAGACTATCAAAGTCTCTGCCAGGGGACAGGAAAGAAATTATTTGTTCCCTAAAATTGCAGTTATTCCCCAAATAGAAAGCATACGTAGGCATTTTCTCTATCTAATGTCTCTTTTTTTGTGAAAAGTATGTCCTGCATCTTTATTATTGATCTTTGCAGACCTTAGCAAACCTGCAAGCAAGAGACAATATAACAATTCAAGGTGGTCTGGGTCAGCATTTCTCAGCATGGGCAACTTTAAGAGGTGTGGATATCAACCCTCAGTCTTTTCTAGCCAACATGGTTGGCCAGGGAAATCTGGGAGTTGACGTTCACGCTTCTTAAAGTTGCTAATATTGAGTAATACTGGTCTAGGTGTAACCATGGTCCCTCTTCCTATAAAATTAAGATTCCTCTCCCTTCAACTCCTTAAACTGGGAATGCTGTGGCTCTGTGGATAAGACACTGAGCTTGTCCATCAGAAAGGTTGGCAGTTCGGCGGTTCAAATTCTTAGCACTACATAATGGTGTGAGCTCCTGTCACTTGTCTCAGCTTCTGCCAATCTAACAGTTTGAAAGCATGTAAAAATGCAAGTAGAAAAATAGGGACCACTTTGGTGGGAAGATAACAATGTTCTGTGTGCCTTCAGCATTTAGTCATGCTGGCCACATGATCATGGAGACATCTTCGGACAGTGCTGGCTCTTCGGCTTTGTAATGGAGATGAACACCACCCCCGAGAGCCAGAAACAACTAGCACATATGTGCGAGGGGAATCCTTACCTTTACCTTTTATCCTTCAACTCCCTAAACAAGGAGCACAGTGGTTCTTGTGGTTAAGTGTTTGTTGGAAGTTAGCAAGACCATGTTTGAGACCCAAATGCTGCTGTGAGGTGGGATGAGCCTCCGTCCTTTGCTGCAGCTCCTGCCAAGGACATAAAAGGAGGCTCCAACTGTATGTTCCCCAGACAACAATCATGTCACTGGCTAATCTTTTCAACCTAGAAGCGCCTGGGTACTTCTGACATGAGTGTAAAACTCCCTAAATGAATGCATTCTATTTTCTTATACCACAGTTCTCATTAGACTGAATATCTCTGGAAAACCTTTGAATATCTCTGGAAAGCCTTTGAAGCCTTTGGCAAATGGCTATTTATCGTGTGATCTTTGGCTCTGATTACTGCAACTGAATTCCAATAAATTTATTATTTTTTCCAAAAGGAAAATGAACTGTCCTTTCTACTGTTAATTGATTTATCCAAATCTCTAAGCCATCCAGCAAGCATTCAAATTTGTAAGCCACCCAGACAAGGCAATTCTTTTTTGTAATTCTTTTTGTGTCCTGTCTGTTTGGGCTGTATTAGAATTAATTCTCATAGCCATATAACTATAGAAAAAAGGAAAGGAGAATAAAATTGCTTAGACAAAGCTTTATATGAATAAATGAATGTGTCATAAATAAATGTGCTTTAGAATAAGCAATTAGATGTTCATCCTCATTATTGAATGACTAATTGTCTCTGTGCAGACAAAGTTATAAGACAAACTTGTTCATTCTGCAGGCATGTTGTTTTATATATGCCACTGTAATACATAAACCTAAATGCACTCTTTCTTTTGGGGTGAATTGTTTTAATCTATGTGAAACAAAGCCTTTACAATCTGATGAGAGCTATATTGTGCAATTACAAATTGTCAGGAGCTAAATTAGTTTGTATGTTTTTGTTCTTGTTTTGTTGTGCTCTTATTAAAATGAAATGCTCCTGAGTTTCTAATACCCAGCATCCCAATCTTATGAGCCATTTCAATTGCAAGGCTCAGATCACAGTTGCTTAAGCAACATCCCTAAAATATGAAATAAGCAAATGGAAATAAATCAAATGGAGCTGGCACCATTACATTAAGATTCCAACAATTCTTTAAGACATGCAATATCACAAATTTTAGCCATGTTAATCTTTATTTTCTTTACACACATATACTTCAATGGAAGAAAGACTAACCTGTCAGGATCACAGGAACCTGAAATAATCAGTGTGTTCCTTTTTACACAGCGCATAAAAATATTTATTTTCCTTTTCTCATCACAAGCTGGCATTCTGTCTCTATAACCTTAGAAGTTAGATCCAAAACACAAATAATTAAGTAAGGGGGCTAAAATAATATTTGCTCTTGTTTCCTCAAACTATACTGCCAGTTATATGAAGAGAAGAAAGAGAAAGAGAAAGAGAGGAGAAGAGAGGAAAGGAAGAGGAAAGGAGAGGAGAGGAGGATATTCTGTGCTACAAAGTTAGTGCTGAGTCTTGGCAACCACAGAGATAAGGTTTTTCCGTGATGATCTATCTGTAACTTGGTCTCTAAGGTCTTTAATAGTGTGCCTAGCTTCTTGGACGAGAAACAAAACATCTTCAAAGAAAAACAAAGAAATCCAGTTGCCTCTTGAAAAAGCACCTTTGGGACAACCATGACCTAGATGACAGAGAAACTCCATTGACTACTGACAAGAACTAACATCTCAGTCAGGTGACAGCTGTAACCAGCGGGCATTCACCTTGTGCAGTAATTGTATCTCTTTCTGAACTGAAATAACAGAATAACAGAGTTAGAAGGGATTTTGAGGGTCTTCTAGTCCAACCCCCTGGTCAGGCAGGAAACCCTATATCATTTCAGACAAATGGTTGTCCAATCTCTTCTTAAAATCTTCCAGTGTTGGAGCATCCACAACTTCTGAAGGAAAGCCATTCCACTGATAAATTGTTCTCAGTGTCAGGAAGTCCTTACTTGTTGGTTGCTCCTCTCCTTGATTAGCTTCCATCCATTGCTTCTTGGCCTGCATTCAGATCCTTTGGACAATCTGATCAATTGTTCTAACTGTCAGGAAATTGTGAGAAATGCCTTCTCACAATCACTTGTACCATGACCATCTCTCTTTTGGACAATTACAAGGCATTCTACATGGTGCTACCTTTGAAGATCACTAGAAATCTACAAGTAATCCAGGAGGCAGGAACTAATTAGGAACATGTCTTATTTTGTCCATATAGCACCACTAGTCTGTGGACTGAACTGGTTATCATTAGGCTTCCAGATAGAGTTTATAGTTTTAACAGTTGCCTACTGTATATAGCTCATTGTGGCTTGTGATCTGGTTACATACAGAACTCCTGCTATTTTTGCCCACTCAGAATCATTTGATGTTCTGCTTGTCCCAGTTGTAAATCAATGTCATCTTGCAGGATCAAAAAGGCATGATTTCTTGCCAACTGGATTGTCCTGTGGAGCAGTTTTCTCCTGAGGTCCACATGACTTGACTGGGCTTTTATAAAGGCATTGAAACTGAAATGCTTTAGAGTACAATGTAGAAATGAGCTTCCTGACAGCGGTTAGTTGTGGTTAGTTATACTCAATGCATGACATATATTTTACTGG